CCCCGTGGGCCTGGGAAAAGCCCATCCCACGGCACAGCCACAGCTGTGGCCGAGCCCCGCTTACCTTTACTTACGAGCAGCCTCGGCCTTGCTGAGGCCAGAAGAGCAGGTGAGGGGCAGGAGGAGGAGGGGTTGTGCCCCACGCTAGGGCAAGGAGCTGGGGGGAAAGGGGGTACAAACAACTCCAGGCGGGTTTCGCAGGCCCTGACGCGTGCTCCAGTGTCGTGGAAACCCAAAAGTAAGCGGAAGTTGCTTTAAAGTTGCTGCCGTGAACTTAATACCCCAAAGGACACGTAGGCTCCTTCAAATCTTCCTCTAGAAGCCTTATGGAAATAAGAGTATCTTTCAGACAGTAACACCACTGTTCAAGCTGGGTAGGACAATTTTTAGCAGTAACTTTTTTTTTTTTTAAAGTTTTGACAGTTTTCTTTATCAAATTGGAAGGGAGGAAGCTCTATTGCTTTATAAAACTGAACCTCCTATTGAAAAGTAAATTAAAGACCAAGACAACAAATGGAAATCAAAGAAAGCTCTCAAGTTTTCAGGAATTCTCTGAATTTACTCATTGTTGTCTGTGGTCTTTCCTTTGTCCCAATGGCATAACTAGTTTTGATCTAGAGCAATGACTTGCTCTAGATCCAATGTAAGACTTTTCTATTAATTGGTTTAGCTCAACTCCCTCACAAATTGCTAAATGATCACAATTAGCGATGGCTTTTATTTAATTAAAAAAAAATCTAAATGGCATTTTTTTTTCCTTTTCTGGAAGGCAACCAAGTAGTTGCAGGTTCAGAAGCTTTGCATGAAGGAGGCTGTTGTTCCTCTGTAAAGGGAACCTCCTCCTCTCTTGCACTCCCTGCAACTCACTCAAATTAGTTTGCGTTACTGTATTGTCAGTATGAAAACTAGAACCATGCATCATGTTACTTATGAAAATACCAATGGGACCACACAGTTTTTTCCTTGGCCAGATAAAGAAGTATTTTCTGAAACCACAGGTCCAGTGGTATGTCCCAATGTGCCAGCTCCTCCCTCTGTTTCCAAGCACTCTCAGTTCTGGAAAACATCAGGAGAGAAAAGATACTTGAGGCCTTCAGATACTTCAATTTTTCCCCCCCCAAATTATGTTCCAGAAATCAGCATTTAAAAATGATGCAGAAATGCAGTCTTCCCCTGGGCAAAAACAAATACTCGGTGCAGGCTGATGTATAGTCTCGCTTCACGCTTACTCATTTTCAGGCTTTTAGGCTCACTGGAAAGCTCTGTTCCTTCAGGGATGAAGGAAGAGGGGGTGAGCAGTTGGACTGCGAGTAAGGTGCTTTAAAAAGGGTCACATTGCTCTATAATGGGTCTCAATGTATTTGACAGCCTTGCGTCAGGAACCTGGTGTGCTAAATCCCTTCTAAGGACATGGAATAGTTCAGTGTAATTGTTGTGAATGTCCAGTTTCCTTCTGAGAATTCTGCCTGCTTCTGTTAAATCCTGGAGGCACTGAGCGATTAGAGGGGGGCTCTGGACAATGTTATCCCTTAACAATCTAGAGTCCGTTCTCTGCACCCCCTTCCCTCTCCCTCCCCACCCCCTGGGAAAAATTAAGGTGGGAGGGAACGTGTCCAAAGACAGGCTTTTCCCTCCATTGCTATAGTTACTTGGCAACGAGACCCTTTCAATGTAATATTGAATAGTTATCATATCACTCCAAGGTGACATTTAGAACGTGCTGTTTTGAAAAAGCTTTTTCAGCATTTCGTGGCCCAGCACGTGCTGTCCCAGGGTTCTTTGCCTCCCTGCTTCCCTCATGTTCTCTCTTCTCATTTCGTTCCTGTCTTTTTGTCAATGTAATAATTATATGAAAACATAGAGGAGGCTGATGGTTGAAAGAAGCCAGAAAGTTTTAAAAATCCCTGATTTTATCTAATGGAAGTTAAATTCTTATAGGGTCAGAACCTGTATCTGCAATTTGCTTAATTACATACCTTACTTTAATTATATGCTAAGTTAATAAGGTTACTCACAGACTAAAAGTTAGGCATTTGCTTGAGCACGTTGTTGATTAGTTGTTCAACAGATCTTCATCACAGAAGCAAGCAGGCAGAATTGGAAAACTAAGATGGAAAGGCACTGCTGCTGTTCTGCAAAACTGCAGTTTCCCGGGCGCCTTGTGGAAGGAGCCAGGCAGAGGGCTTGCAGAAGGCACAGTCCATATATGCACTCAAACGTGCTCTCCATCTCTGCAAAATACTTCCTTTTGCAGAACCCTCCAGCCCTTGGGATTACCCCTGTAACAGGTGAGGAGCTCGTCAGGGGGCTACTTACTGCAACTACTTATTTGGAGGGCTGTTAGCCCACTTCTCACCCGTCAGGATTTCAAGATCCTTTTTAACATGTCTGACTGCTTCTTTTCTTTTAATCGTTTACTTTAGCTTCTACTTTTTGCAGTATAGGAAGGCTCATCCCACTTCCCCCCTCCCCCCCACGTAGTTTCTGTTCCAAAACTTCAAGCACATTTCTTTTGAATCTTGATCCTTCCCTAGGATGAATGTATAGTCTCTTACTCTGGTGCTAGGCACATCTCATAGCATCTCTCCTGTATGTTCCCTACTGGATGCTAATCTGCTCTTGACCTCCTCTTTTCCAAAGAATACTCACGTAATTTCTCTCATATTTTTCAGTAACATGAATCTCCTCCTACACATGCTTCCCTCCACCCCTCCAAAAACATCAGTAATCTGCATAGGAGAGACAGCAGTGTAGGAGTTATCTGCTTGAAACAGTTGAAAGCCTGAGTAGTGGGCCCCTAATTTGCTGGGTCTCTACTCCCAAAACAGCTCTTTCATGTTAGGGAGAGAATCAGACCTGGGCAGGAAACTTCTGCTTTGCTTCTCCAGTTAATTTTTTTTTCTTTCCACACACATAACCAGCATTAGTGGGCAGTTACCCACGTTTATTTTTTTCTTTACAAGCCTTCTGCTCCCCAAGCAACAACAACAAAAAAGTCTAAATCCTAAGTCAGAAGAAAAAGAAACCCCTCCTCAGCAGGACTTTGCCCTAAAATGGGAAAAGTGCCAGAGACTCCATTAAGTCTACTTTGCTTTCTTATTGATTTTTATGTGGAAGGCAGTCAGATACTGTGGGGATGAACAATAGTCTAAAGGCTTAGTGAGCTGCGTTAGGAAAGTAAGCTTGTGATACGTTGTAAAATACCATTCAGTCTGCTCAGAATGATCACATTCACGTTAATAAGCAAGTCCATTTTGTGTCTGTGCTAATGCATTTTCATGACAATTTTGCAAAGCTGATGTAATGTGATATTCAATAGTGTGGTACTGCTAGTTACAGTTGTCAGGTACAGCTGATGGAAGCGATCTCTGAAAAATGGAACAAGATGTGTCACAGCTCGTTGCGCTAATTCTCTTTTAAGCTGCTTTTGCCATGAACATGAAGTTTGCCCCCAAAATCTCTGAGGAAAGCGCTTGCATGGAAAGACTGACCTGAGCTTTTGCTAAGTAATTTTGGCTGTCTCTAGTACAGACAAAGGGCTGCTATGACACTTCTTGTCTTCAATTGATCTGTGCTATTTTGCGATCCGTTTTTTTAGTTTCCTAGTAGAAAAAGGAAAAGAACTAGTGCACCGTATTGATAGAGGCTTTCTAATGAATAAGTCTGCAAGCGAGTGCTACTTGTCAGCTCTTTAAGTAGATTTTTCCATTAGTCCATGTCACTGACTAATTCTATACAGATTCTAACTAGTGAACCATGACTATTGTATTAAGAAGGAATCCAGCCCTTACAATTCTTTTGGCTGGTATATTAGTAAGCTTCAAATGAAGTGCAACGTGTCAAGGAAAAAGTAAGGGAATGGAAAGTTTTGTTTCTTTCTGGTGCAATCAGCTTCTCCTTGATTCTTTTTTAATGACAGGCTGCAGACATCATTACTACAGTTAATGACCAAGTTTGACAAATGTTCTCAATACTCCCTTTGCTCAAGCTAAAGATATTTGTGAAAGCTCCTGTCTGTCAAGCTTTCTGTGCTTAAAGAAGAGAAAGTTAGACAAGCGGTCTCAAGCACAGAAGTAAACAGCATCCTAGGATACGCAACTAAGAGGAACATGCTGGAAAACAAGTGGTCCCAGCAATCCTTCATTCCACTCTTCTGGACTGATATTTTAAAAAATGCCTCGTAGCACACTTCTAAAGCGGCATTGCTGGTTTTACTGAAGGAGGGCTTCAGGTATCTCTGGGTCACGTTTGCCCGTTTTGTATGACATGTCTTGCGAAACACAATTGTAGAATAACCTATGGGACATGTGAAAACAGAGTGTGGCTGCAAACAACTGCAAGGCATGTCTAGACACGAACAGTGTTCTCAAAATGTGGGCTGGTACTTCTGGGCAGAAACAAAGCAACTGTTTACTAGTGCATGAGGATGTTACTTAATGCACGAAAAAAGAATTTTCTTATGTCCAAGGTACTGACCAGATTGCAGGAGATGCGGCTTGCTAACATGACCCTGCTTAAGCCCATCTCTGTGCACATCAGTTTCAGCTGAGTGATTAAGTCTCAGTTTCTCCATCTGTAAAAGAGGAGTATGAAACATGGTATTATCTCATCTATTTAGGCAAAGTACATTATAAAAACAAAGGAAAAGGTCAACCCCAGATAAGCCCAGTGCCTCTAGCTGTATGTATGTGCGAGTGATGTGTAACCTTTAACTTTCCTGTTGTTACTGTAAAAAAGCTGCACGGGTGATAGATTAAGTTTTATTTTTGGCCAGTATGTGGACATCTCGGGCTGCTAGGTTTACTGTCCTTTCCATTAATCAAATACATTCTTAAGACGGACACATGTGCTTGGGTGTTGATGAAGTGAAAAGTATTGTTCCGGAGTCTGTTTTTAGCATTCTTTGCATGGGAGGGAAAATGCCTCTAACACACTAAAAGGAAACTATGTTGTTGTTTTATTAAATGTGGCATTTTGATTCACTCATCGGTTACTGCAGGGATTGGGAAAACGCTTAAAACCTTTAGATTCCAAGAGTACCCTTAGCAAAGCTGCCTTGGAATAGGAGGGAAGCTCCTTTTATTGTTTGTGCGCTATTTTGTCAGTGTGTATAAAGATCTCCATAGTGAGAAATATCTGTGGTTTGAATAGGGAATTCCAAACCACCGGGCAGTGTTGTAGGTACCTTTTTCCTCTATTAGTTTCCAAGAAACGCTCAGTTTTCAGCCTCAAATCAAATGATGCCGCTGGTTTACTGACTCTGAGTAATAAAAACCAGGGAACCAAACTTTACCATTGCTGGAAGTGGAGACTCTTGCAGCAGTAAACTCAATTTATGAGAACTCCTAATAAAAGTTTATGCATCTTTTCAAGTGCCACAAGCTTAACCTGGAAGAGAATGGGCAGTCTGACCTAAGAAAATCCCTAGCTGTCCTTTTCATTAAATAGAAAAATTAATATTCAGGAAAGCCTGACAAGTTTTCTCTAGGAGCTAATTTCTAAGCACCTATGTTCTCGTAAGTATTTTTGGTCCTGGCTGAACACTGGAATAAACAAAATAAATAGCATTTCACCCTGCATGCAACACATGCAGGGGGATGAAATAAAAAGCATATCGTGTCAGACTGCAAATGCTTTATGAAGTTCTGGCTTAATGTGAAAAGTACTCGGTAATGCTAATAAAAAGTATTTATCCTTTTGCTTCCTTGAATATAATCAAATATACAGGGAAAGCATATGTATTTTATAGTTGCTGACTGCAAGATCAAAAGCTCTGTTATTAATTGCACATGAATCTGATGCTGTAGGGCTGTTAAGCCGTCAACTGACATCATTGTTTGCTTCCTTTGTTTACAGACCCTCGTTTCACAGATGTATAATGCCTGACACTAAGCCCTTCCAGCACGCTCTTTTCTCTTTAGGTGGATGATCCCGTGTCATGATATGTGGGGAAATGCCTGTAAGCTGACTAGATCCAATGGAGCTGAGCTCTTGAAATCGCTCTGGAAGCGGTGGTGCAGGTCCCCTACCCCTGTTCGGCTCTCTAGAGGCTGGGAACACCAACACCTTTATGAGCCTCCCGCAGAGCACCCTGAGGCACGGATCAGAGGATGTTTTTGTTTTCCTGTGTGTTTTCCGGTTTCCTAGCAATGTGCCCCAGTAAGGACTAATCTATATGCCGCTGTATTGTAGCGAGTCCTCTTAACTCCAGAAAATATGAAGAACAAGCAGCTGAACTCTCAGAAATAATTCTCATCCCTAGTTTTCAAAATGCTGTATGAAATACAGCTGCATATAGGAGAACTCCGCTCTCTGGGCTCTGAACCTGCTGCTCAGCTGTAGGCTTGCGAGGTAACTTAGCTTTGTGACCCACTCCAGCAATTTCAGTGTTGGGATCTTCTTTTGCCTTGAAACCTGTGCAGAGTTTTTACAGCGCTGCAAAATGGATGGAAGTTGTTACTGCTCTCATTGAAAGGCAATGTGTGCTTGTTCGCCATAACAGCTATTCCAAGCGTAGGGCTATGCAGAGGCTGGGCCCCTTCTTGAGCCACTCTCCAGGCTTGAAGCTCCTGTTGCTAACAATATTTATCAGTCTTCTCTCATTTCCTATCCTGCCTTATGGTTGCTCCACAGATGGCCTCTTCAGCTGCCTTTGTAATGCATCTTTTGCGGTTTTATTGAAAATCTTATGGCTAAAGTCCATCTCTGCATTTTCTTCCCTTTTTTTTGCCTTCAGATTTCACTCACTTTGTCACAGCATCAAATCAGAATCAGACTTTTCCTCGAGCAGAGGTTTTTCAGTAACTCTGCTTCTTCCACCTGTCTTGTGGCTTTCACAGTTGTCTGGCTGTTAAAATAGGGCTGGATAAAACTTATTTCAGTTTCTGTTGTTAAAGCAAACAAACATACACACAAAACCTAGCAAAGCAGCCCTAACCCTCAAGTTATCCCAACTGAATTTACTTATGTGAAGAAAAAGCCTGCCCTGAGCAAAATAAATAGTACTGCTGCTGTCCTTATGCCAATCTAGTGCCTTTCACCTGTGCTTCTTAAAATCAATGTGCCAATTATGTTGCCGTTCCTGCTAAAGGGATTATTTTCCTTAGAGTCTGGAGTAGATTAAAGAAAAAAAAGAATACAGCATCATATACAAGGGTCATCCTACTTAGCCCTGAACTACCACCACCTCTGGAGAGGAACATAGCTAACAATGCAGTTAATAACACCGTCTCGCGACATTCACAGGTTTCTTGCATGTCTCCCACATATAGACCTGCACTGGCTTTATTTAGCTGTCAGCCCCTCCAAGAATCACAACAGAAGGTAGGATGGCTACAACCGTAGTTACAGCTGCAGAACCCTCTGCCTACTCAGACGCAGTCCGCGCTGCAAATTGCAGCCTACAAGGAAGGGTCTGGTCCTACATCTTAGTAAACAAACAAATAAAAAAAAATTCCCTTAAGCATGTCCTGCTATAAACAAGCAAAGCAAGCAGCTGGTCCTCATTTGAAAAGATGTTCCATTAATTTCAAAAGGAATCTGCAGATCTTCTTAATGCAAATATTTTTGGGAAAACAAAAAGCAGCTGTTTATTCTTCTTTATACCTATTAGCAGAAAAACGAAATCCAGAGTGCTTGTATTTCTTCCGCTAAGAAAAACATCCTCTTGGCCTCAACGTTCATTTGGATCTCAAATTGTTTAAACTACACCAGGCTGCATGATTCTTGCTCTCTTTCTTCAGCAAGAAGCTAGAAACAATTGTTGTTTCTAAGCATAAGAGCTGCTAAACTAAAGGCACAGTGATCATTGCATGCCTTATGTGAGTTTTGTGGCAAAAATCATGAGGTTTAGAACACTCATTTTCAAGTTTATATTAATGCTATCCTCCCAAGGCCCTGCCCCTGCACGTAAGATGTGTGGACCCCTGTATAACAAATGACTAATTTGTTATGTGCACAGAGCAGGCTTGCTTTTCTTAATTACTACTCATAGGCACCTCTGAGGGAACATACGGACTGAAGGATCTGGGGACTGCATAAGAGAAGCCACTTCAGATTACTGCATGTTTTAATTGGCCTCAAAGAGGCTAGGCCAACTGGTGTTGGTGAAGAAGCAGATTCAAAGAATCAAGAGCAGGAAATGCCTTCTGAGGTTATGCGGCCTATCTGCTAGGCAGGGGAAGACTGTTTCCCATTTCATGGTGTATTTGATAGTGGCTTACCGATGAATTTATGTCCCTTTGTTTTTCTGTGAAGTAATGCAGCTCCTGCTTTTCTCGAGAGATTATTTTTACTAATTGCTATCCTCTACTTGCTAGATTCATTTTGTTTCTGCACTGAGAAGAGCAGAACCAGAGGCGCGGGAGAAAAGCAGCAGTGGGCAAAGGTGAACTTAAATCAGTGGCAGCACATTGTCAGAGAGTAATCAAACTATAAAATCAAAACTTAAGACATATAGTTTGCATGAACAGTGACAGCCATTATGTGTGCATGTGGGTCGTGTCAATTTACCTACGTAACGGTTATGCCCTTAAACTAGATGATAGCTCATGCTAGCTTTCATAACTGAGTACGCATACCTCAACAGTTAACTTCTCCGGAAATTTAGCCGGACGCTTTCACCACAACAAAAACAACAAAGCTGTTTTGCCCTGAGTATGCGTCAAGTAAAACGAGCATTGTTAGAGTTTTTACTTCTTGGAAGGTCTGGTCTGGGATCTAATAGTTAAAACATTTAAGAGCTGAGCCATGAACAACTGTGATATGTTAGTGCAAAATCAGGACTTGGCCTTGGGTCATCCCCTGCCAGAAGGATGTACCACTAAATATTACATCCAAGGGAAAAATGAAGGGGTCCCCTTAAGACTACATAATTTCTATTAAAATTTCAATGCAGGAATTGCACACGCTGTCAGAGTTTCACACCCGCTCCAGGAGGATTACATCAGCGCAGGAAGCGGCGCGCGAGTCCCCTTGTCAGCAGTTCCAGTTTCCACAGCAAAAGTAAATGGAACAACAAAAGGGGCTTTGGCTCGCAAGGGCCAAGTCTGCAACGCAGCAGCCAGAAGGCACCAGTGGAGGGTTCTCAGGATGCTGGCGCTCCAGCTCTGCTGCAACCCGGGCCAAATAATTGTTCAAAAAAAAAAAAACCCCTAGAGGAAACCGTTGCCACGTAATATATCAGCTCTTCTCCTGGGGTAACTAGTTAAGTTGCATTTGTTAACTTCACGTGTCCAAAATAATTTAGAAGGACACGTACAGAGTCTGCAATCAGGATGAGTTTTACCCAAGGTGGTTGAAAAGTGAATTAGTAGATTAGGAGGGAAAAAAACCCAATGTTGTCCTTTTGGGACAGTCTGAGAGAAGCAAAACATGTTTTATTTGTATATACACCCCGATTTGCTGATTTTTATCTCTCATTTGGCGATCTGCATCTCAGCTGCTTAAGCCTTGAAGTCATCAAAATATGTCTCTGCTTAACTCGAAGCACGTACCTACATGCTTTGCTGAATCAAAGGGTAAGCTTCCAGAGGAGGCTGAACGCTTGCCATTGCAATTAATTAACCTTGTCCTTAAGTAGCCAGAGGCTGATTTTTTTTTTCTCCTCGCAACTCACGCTACAGAGCTCAACAGTTAAGAGATGACTCTATTTTAGGCCACACAAGCAATGACGCTTATCAGGGTTACCTCTGCAAGGGCTGCTTGTCAGCTGCTTGGCGATTGGAGGAAGTGTACCTGCTCAGGCTGGCGTTTTCCATGCTAAATGTGGGCCTCGTGCTGCCTTTTTTCGTCTAATCTCAAATTAAAATCTTAAAAAACAAAAAAATCTAATCTAAAAATCTGAAAAAAGGAAGGGAAAAAAGGCAATAAAGCAGAAGGAAAAAAATGAAAAAGGAATAAAGGGAAAAAGGGGAAGGAGAAGAAGGGAGAAAAAGGGAAAAAAAGGGGAAAAAAGGGGAAAAGGGGGGAAAGGGGGGGGGGCGCAGAGGCGGACGCGGTGCTTGGCGGGGGGCCCTG